CAACCTTCACATTCCATATTGCACAACCCCTGATGCTGCATTAATTGTTAAGTCATGGTAACAATCAATTTGTGATAATAATTTCCTTTTCTTGCTGTATGAAGTTTGAAGCCCTATGCATCTGAGTCATCAGCAGATATGCTTAGAAAACAATCATTTGAAAAGTTATCCTGCACAACCCCCTTTAGAATGAATGTGAGTTGTCCAAGTGGGCACACACAGTAGGGCTTTCTGATGTATCATACTGAGGAAAATCAAGACGTGGCACATATTTTCTCCTTGTCTATAGTTTGGTCAGTATAATAGATCTATAGCAAATCTATTACGTGACCTGTTTAAATACAAGCATCAAAAAAAGATTGAGAATCTTTTACCAGAGAATCAAAAAATAATTAAGAATAAATTTTCTATCTCTTTTATGTGAGCATATGGAATTTAGCTTTCTGCTAAGTGAATCGAGTTAAATGTAAGTATCAATATATGACTGTACTAGTCTACTCTAATACAGACTGATGTTAATATTATGTAGCTTATTTTAAAACTCATCTGATAGACTATGTGTTCATCTGCTAGGAACCGACCAACCTCTATGGATCTTAAAAGTTAGAAAAAAATGAACTCTATTAAATTCAAATGCAGCACCATCTGGTTTACAATATAATCATGTATAAAAACTCTGAAATATGTAGTTCATATACATTCTACAGACATACCCATTTATACAGAAAAAAATAATATGAAAAAATGAAAGATGCTATCAACCAAAGGTTCTGTTATTAATATCTACTAATACTATTGAGTTTAGTCTTTGTCAACTGAACAGTATCATTAGTATCACTAAAACAGATTTTCTTGCTTCTCAAGAAAATTCTGAACAAAGGTAGCAAAAAATGAGTTCATTTATCTTAGTTGTCAAGACACAGCATGAAATAATTATTTTCAGGTTAGGCTGAATGTAACGAAATGTTATTAATGATAGTGATAATATTGATTAAAGCAGTTGCAGATGTTTAAGATTGTTAAAAATTGAGGGGGAGGGATTGTGGCATGAGATTGTACCAACATGAGATTACATGTTTATGGTTACAGATAAGTAGCATCCATTATGACTTCTATATTCCTTTCTATGCTATCCTCAAAGTATAAATCAAAAGGGTGAAGGGACACTGAAGTCAGAAAAAAATAGGAAAGGAAAAACGTATTAAATTTATTATGGCTGCCCACTCCAATACAATCAAATGACTAGGCAAGAAGGACAGATGAAAGATGTTGTTAATAGTAAGTCAGCACCTACAACATCATGCAATAGCATCTGTGGATTCCCAAACTGAAATATTCTTGAAGGAGTTCTTGATCCAACCCCTCCTTCTCATCAGGCACAGCTAGGACCATTCCTTCCCCCAACTCCTAATGAAGGACGAGGTTCCTCCTCTTCAGAATTGGAACCATAAAGAGAACCCTCTCCTTCTGCAAAAGGAAGATCTTTATCCAAACTTTGAATCAATCATGCCTGACTCTGGATCATGCCAATCTTCTAGTATAGGCATGATGTCTGGGCCTCCCCACCTTCTCCAGTGTGAGAAAAGAATTACTGGAAACCACCAGGATATGAAGACTGCACCATCAAGTCTGATGCTGCAAGCTACCATCTTTATTTTGAAGGTTTATCTTTAGAAGATTGGCCAGTCATCTATCAGCTCTTCACTTTGCCTACTATGCTTACAATTTTATCATGTTTTGTCTCAACATGAAATATTTATTGACAGTTTTTTAAAGAGTCAGATTTTAATAAGAGTATAACTCTGAAGTTCCTAGCACTTTTATCTCTTCATAGAGATGCAGCATTTCTGGATACATCACTCCTTTCTAGTTAGAAACCAAAAAGCCTATAGTTGTTCCTTTGTTTATGTAGTCCTTTACTACACATGCTTTTTAGAGTCATTATGACTCTAAGCAGCTCATAACCAACAATAACAGTACAATATAAATAATACATATCCATTACTCATAATAGAAATAAATCATACCATTAAAATACCCTGCGTTATTGAAATAACAATTCATCCTATGATCATCTTGAAAAATAGCATCAAATATCATCAGAACAGTGTCACATATTGCAGGTACCTCCCATTTCTAATACCTCAGACCCTGAATGCTTTTTGAAAGAGCCAGTTCTTCCCTCCTTTTCTAAATGTGAGGAATGAGGGCACAGATCTTTTATTTGTTTCTGTTTTCCCCATGCTATGGGACTATGGGAAAACAAAACCTACCTACCTACCTACCTACCTCCTTCCTTCCTTCCTTCCTTCCTTCCTTCCTTC